CAAATGTTGAGGAATGGAATGGAAGCAGGGAGACATAAGAACAGGAAACATGGTTGTTTGTGCTTAGGGCTAGTTAATCACAAGCTGAGGTTGGGTTGTGTGCAGTTTTGAAGACACAGATTCAGTGTCAGAGCATTATCACTGTTTCACTTACAGGGAAGAAGGGAATATAGACAGAAGAAAAGAATAGAAAATTGGCATATTATGTCTTGTATCAGCAAGTGTACTGTTAAGAGGTCTTTTTAGTGTGGAGTTTGGAAATAATTACGAATTACAGGTTACTAGTTATTAATTCATTTTGGTGCAACATCTAAGGCATAATTTAAGCTATGATATGATTTTAATGTAACTAGGAATAATATAACTCCTTTTGTAATGTAACTGTAATTGTGTTTTAGTGACAGTTATAGTTATAAGCGAATTTCCTATTTAACATTCTAATGGTTTTTAAAAGTAACTGTTTTAGTTACTTTTGAATAATAAGAAAGCAATGAACTAATTTCAGTATTTTTAACTACAATAGTAACTAATTGTTTGGTGTCTTGGAACTATACCTATTCACTTTTAAAGTAGCTTTCTATGTTCTGCTTTACTATCTGAACTTTCAATTCAAAATTGAACTGGTTTTTCATATGGAGATTCAACATTAATTTAGTATTCCACCTCCGCACTAGAACTGAAGCAGCTAATAGCTTTAGTTGATGCCATTCTGTGGTGAAAGAACACAGTGAATTTTCTTAAAAGCAGGGCTGTACATGACAAGAAATGGACACTGCTGTAAAAACTGGTATTGATTTCTCTCTTTCTTAGTGCCCTAATGCTGTGCTCTGTGTTCACTTCTGTAGAAATATTGGTTGATGAAGGCAGGGGATGTGCATTTACACTTTAGTGGGATAGCTTTTATGCACATCCACATGTCCAGCAGCTCACATCTTAACCACAGTAAAAAGACTGCTAAATCCTTTTGCAGAAGTCCTGGTCCACTGCAAGACCTCTCCTTCTTTTACATAAGAGGAAAAATTAAGCACGTGTATGTTTGCAGGAATGAGACGTAAAGTAGAGCACAATCTGCTGTATTCTTCTTATAGATAAGCAAAGAAGCCCCCGTATTCTCTAGGATCTGAATGACATCCCAAGTCTGCCCATGTAGTAAATCCAACTATCCACCAGTATTACCTCTCTAACTTTTTGCAGCATTATATGTTTTAATATTTTTCCTCCTTTTGTGCAGATGTATAGTGAAATCGTTGAAGCACTTGAGGATGCAGCTAAGGATGACTCTGTTATAACAGTTATTACAGGTACTGTGAGCTTTAAACACTAAACCAAAGAGTCTCCGTTTTGTATGCCTTCAGCAATTTCCCTTATCTTGTCCTTTCCATGAACTTTGTCTGTAGAATTCTTTCCCATGTGCCAGCGACAGGTACCATACTTGTGTCCATTGGCTACAACTGTCTCTTTCTTTTCTGGAAACTCACCATGAAGTTCCAAAGTTCATGGAAAGGAATAGACAAGAAGATGAGGGGACTGTGTGACCATGCCAGCCTGGACTAGTTTCAGCTGATTCATGAAACAAGGCGACTCAGCTCAGCTCTGCGAGTACAGTGGGGCCTCGTTATCTGTGGATCTGCCATCCATGGATTTAAGCATCCACAGAGGGCAAGCCCCATTGTCACCAATACATGTTACTCCATCATTAGAGACAACAGGACTTGAGGTCCTTCATTTTTTGATATCTGTGGGAGTAGGGGTTCCTGAACAGATTATCCTGCAGATACCAAAGGGTGCAAGATACTGGTGTTCCGGTAACAGCCAACAGTACTACCTTGCACTGTCTCCTCTGTCAAGTTCTTTCTTTAGAGCAGTGCTACACAAAGTGGTGGTCCCTTTACTGGTGTCAGTCCCTGAGCTAGTAGCTGCGGTTCCCTGGTGAGTTTCCAGAAAAAAAAAGAGACCGTTGTAGCCAGTGGGCACAAATATGGTACCTGTACCTGGTACATTGGAAAGAAAATGCTGATCCCTCACATCAGATAGCCTGAGAAGCACTACTTTACAGCATATTTTCAAAACCTCGGTGTGTATTTGTTTTTTGTGAAAACCCAGAAGAGCAACAGGCACCTGCCTGGTTCACATAAATCCATAAATCAAAGTAATAAAAAGTGTAGCATCTTAAACGTGGACTTTTTCCTCCTTATTGGATGCTATTTAGTTGACATTGTAGGATTTTAAACAAAATTAAAAATGCATACTGTATATACTCATGTATAAGTCTAGAAATTTTAGTCATAAAATAGACCCCAATAAACTTGGTTGATTTATCCATGGTTCGGTGGAAGTACTGTACCTTAACTCTTATCAAAAAAGGAACTATCCCCTTCTCTGAGTAGAGTGGCAAAACGTGAGAACCTAGTCTCTTCTGGGAGCACCTGAATGAAGCACCAACCCGCTCTACTCTCTCCACCATGGCACTGCTTCTAACCTTTTTTAATGCCTGGGTGGGAAAATGGCATCAGTAGTTCCCTCCCTATCCATCAAGCCTTTAGAACAGGGGTCGGCAACCTACGGCCAGTGGGCCACGTGCGGCCTGCAGAGGCCTTTTGACCAAACCCTGCCCGGTCCAGCTGCCGCCACCACGCCACTCCCGCCACCGCCTTTCGGAGGCCCAGCACTGCCGAGAGAAGCCTCCTGGGGGTCCAGCTGCCGCCACCACACCACTCCCCCCACCTCCTGGGAGGCCCCTGCGGCGGCGCTGGGCTTCTTCGAGGCCCGGCACTGCCGAGAGAAGCCTCCTGGGGGGCCCCCGTGGCGGTGCTGGTCCTCTTGGAGGCTCGGCGCTGCTGAGGGAAGCCTCCTGGGGGATCCTTGCAGCAACGTTGGGCCTCGTGGAGGCCCGGCGCGACTGAGGGAGGCCTCCTGGGGGGGGGGGGGTCAGCCATCATGCGCATGTGCGCACGACACAGGGGGGCGCCATTTTGTTTTTCAAAATGGCAGTGCGCGCGCATGGACGCATGCAGCTGGAGAATAAGCGCGCAAGCGCGCACACCAGCTCCATTTCCCCCCCCCCCGGCCCGTCGGCAAAAAAAGTTGCCGACCCCTGCTTTAGAGTGAGTACAAGCAGTTATGCATGCTGGAATTTTGTGAGTTCTTTGGCATTGTTTCCTTTGCTTCCTCCTTTACATCCTTTGTTATATGCTCCAAGGTTTTACCCTCAATTTATCCACAGATAATTTCAAAATCCGTAATTTTGGTTCCCAAACCTGCCCTCAGTTTATACATGAAATCAACTTGTACACAAGTATGTACAGTAATTCCACCAGGTTGCAAAGCATTTAAGTTCTGTTGTCTTCTTTGCAAAGTAAGAAACCTGGTGTTTTTTTCTGCTGTTAAAAGACCCATCTGTTCTGCATATTATACAATGTTATCCAAATGCAGAACTCATTAAAAAAAATCTCAAAACCGCAATATAGTTGGAGAAATCTTTGTTTAAATATTTTTTATTCTGAGTCATTTGTAAGCAACCAAGGATACAATCCAATCAAAGATGGGATTTTCAAGGTTTTGCTTCAGTCAGAGTCATGCAAATGCTTAAAGATCTTCCATTTGAAATCAAGGACACATAAAACCTCAACCTTTTATTCAGGCATGCCCATGATATATTTGATGTTTCAATCTGGTATGTATCTTTATGAGCATAACAGCTACTCCCAGTTTATATATTCCACCTATTCAGAAGCCTTGCTGTGTGCTTGTTTACAGGTAATGGAGATTATTACAGCAGTGGAAATGACCTGAACAACTATGCCAACACCCCAGCAGATGGTTTAGAGGAGACAGCAAAAGAAAATAGCCAGATGCTGAGGTAGGAGTTGTTTTACATTAGGGAGATTATTGCACTACACTCTTAAAACACTGATAATCCACTTTAACTGCTCTGGCTGTCTCCTGTTGCATTCTGGGACTTGTCATTTAATAATAATAATAATAAATATAATAAAATTTATTTCTATCCCGCCCTTTAGGAAAACCCAATCAGGGCGGCTTACAACAAATTTAGGAAGGGGCATTTAGAATATTCAGCCAGAGAGCTCCTAGGCCTCACTGAACTACAAACCCCGAAATGCAACATGAGGCAGTCAGAGGAGTTAAAGTGGATTAGCAGCATTTTAAGAGTGTAATGCGATAACCTAGTATGTTGAAGTGCACAGATAGGTATGCAGCGTAAGCATGGCATGATACCATGTAAGAAAACTATTTTAGAAAATGAGAAACTAAGATGTGTAGCCTAATGGTGTTCACTCAGAAGGAAATCACACAGAGGTTACTAGAGCACACTATTTAAGGGGTACATAGGGGCTTTGCAGATGGTGCAAAGCTCCGTCTTTGAGCCAAGGAAGGGGAGGGGCAGCTGGACACCGGGCACCCCAACCCCTTTCTGAGGACATTATTGGAACACCCGCCATTGCACACGGCAAGCACTCCAATGATGTCCTTCTGTCGCAGCGTCCGGAAATGCTGCGACGGAAGAGGTGCAGAAAAGGCGCGTGCTGCCTCTTCCGGCGCCCTTTTTAGAGCTCCTTCCAGAGTGCTATGGCCCCAAAGAGTGGATTGGGGCCAAGGAGTGGGGCAGCCTAGGCCCCAATCCTCAGCTTCTCGGGGCAGCCCACAGAGGCCCATTTGTAGAGGCCCATAGTGTAAATATATTGCAGTATAGGTGGTATCTGACCCCGGCTAGAATATCTCACATGTATAAGAACTCAAGTGATCGATGCTGGAAGTGTGTGAAGGAGAGAGGTACCTTGATATGTATATTTTGACTAGAATAAAAATTTTATGGCCAAGGAAAATACAAGTTACATTGTAGTTTTCGTTTCCTAGAGGTAATTTTTTTCTTTTCCTTTTGCAGGTTAATAAGCAGAATGTTTTTCTCTCAATCATTACCGATAAAAACAAAATTGAGGAGGGCCTGTAACATCTGCTAAAAAATGTCTATAAATCTGTAAGCCAGTGTAGTGTAATGGTTTGAATGTTGGACTAGGACACTGGGATATCAGGGTTCAAATCCCTGCTCGGCCATAGAAACCCGCTGGGTGACTTTGGGCAAGTCTTACTGTCTTATCCTCACAGGAAGGCCAATGCAAACCACCTCTGAACAAATTCTGCCAAGAAAATCATATGATAGGTTCACCTTAGGGTCACCATAAATCAAAAATTACTTGAAGGCACGCAACAACAGTAATACATCTGCTCAAAAGTGTCAAAATATACTACCTCATGTCTACTGTATATATGAGAATACACATAAAAGTAAGCAAATAGAGAAGTACTCAAGGAAGTGCAAACAAGATCCATACAGAATTGTTCTTCTAGAATTCAACACTTTGATCACATTTTGCTAACTGAGGCTCCATCTGCATTGCAGAATAATCCAGGTTGATGCCATTTTAACTGTCATGGCTCAGTGCTATGGAATTCTGGGAACAGTAGTTTGTTGTGGCACAAGAGGTCTCTGACAGAGAAGTCTAAATGTCTCACAAAACTACAATTCCCAGAATTCCATAGCATTGAGCCATGGCAGTTAAAGTGGTATCAACCTGGATTATTTCTGCAGTGCAGGTGCAGCCTGAGAGGGACAGAAGTTACAATTGCCTTAGTCTTAAAATCACCACTCACATTTCTAAAATTCTATGAAATCTTCCAGGTTGAAGAGGTCAACACTATGTACAGTGGGCCCTCCACATTTATTGGGGTTGTGGGCGCAGGCCCCCTGTGAATCTGGAAAATGGCAAATAAAAAACCGTATTTTTTTTTACCTGAGAGAATGTCTCTAGGAATCTCTAGATCTTCCAGTGCAACTCTTTGGTCAACATCTGCTGGAAATTGACCATAGAATTGTGCTGGAGGATCCACAAATGCACAGAAAAGTATTCTCTCTAGAAATCTCTAGGTCTCCAACACAACCTCTTGCAGAAGTTGACCAGAGAGTTGCACTGGAGGACCTAGAGATTCCTAGAGATAACAATAACAAAATCTGTGAATAATAAAATCCGCAAAGTCAAAACCACAAATGTAGAGGGCCAACTGTATTTGTGTTTATTTACTTTTTGTTGACTGCCATTCCACAATTCATTTTGCAAGTTAAAGCACCCATTATAGTTTGAAACAATGATATTAAACAAAGGAAAAATCCACAAACAAATTAGATCTGCTTTATGGGCTTTTAGAGAATTTTAGGGGAAGCAGGGATCTCATTAGTGTGATTCACCATAGGGAATCACAGCATGATAGAAGTCAGTCTGTGAGAAAACAGTAGCTTTGCCTTTAGGCTGCACATAAAACAGAAAATGGTTGAAGATGTGAGGCACATCTTGAGCAATAACATGAAAATGCTCAGAACTAAAAAGGTGATGTTTTCCATAGTTTCTGTAGCTCCTGTTAACTGTTCTTAAGGGAAAATATTCATCCAGATCATAAAGGACCTGGAGGTATTGGATATTTTGTACTTATTTGGCACTACTTCTTTAGGGAAGGAATGTGTCCTGTATTACAATGCATAGCATTCTTCTAATATAATTAGCACGTTTGTTGTGATAGAGAAAATTTCTGACAGTGACAAGGGCTGTCCCACTGTATAAAGTTCTGTTCCTTTATATTTTCAGAAACTTTGTCAACCATTTTATTGATTTTCCTAAGCCATTGATTGCTGTTGTGAATGGGCCAGCTGTTGGGATCTCTGTGACTCTCCTTGGACTGTTTGACATTGTATATGCTACTGACAGAGTAAGTCTTCTGCATGATTGCTTCCTGTCTCCAGTATTAGGTCTGATAGAGTTAGAGGTGACTTTGAATAAATTCTATTCAGTTTTGAGACAGCTTTTCTTTCTCTAGAGAACCTCAAAGCAGTTCTCGGCTTCAAACAATAAAATTACAAATGCATTTGTTAAACAATGGTTGGATCCTCTTGGCTTAGAGTTCCTTCCTCTAGAGCTTGTGACCATTAGAAAGGCTGCCTAAAAGTTGTACTTGAAAATAACTTGCTTATTCATCTATGAGTAGTCAGGATGGCCCTGAGTTGTCATCTGAGATTTCCATCACTCTCTTGGAACTATAAGAACCCACTCCCATAGGTCAGTTTGGTAGAGGAAAGGTATTTGCAGGAGATAGTTGTGGAAAAGCTGGGTAAGTGTCTCATTCTTGTCCAAGTAATGATCAAGTTTATAAATGTCAGCGCTGTGAATAATTCATATTTCAAAGATGTTACTGTTGTTGGTTATGTCTAGCCCTGTCTTTCATGGAATGAACTGTGATCTTCCATGGGACAAGAGTATGCCCAAGGCCATCCATGCTCTCATTTTGGATGAGAGATGTAATTGGGCAGCTGATCAGTTGTGTCTGAAAAGTCAAAAATCTGGCTTCGTTGTGCCTTTGTGTTATAAATGAGCAGCTGAAAATTAGAGCTAGGGCCACACTCATTATCTTACTGTGCTTACAAACCCTCCAATGTCTGCCAGCCAAACATCTCTAGTCTGATTGCTATTCATATCCAGAATTTATATAAAAAACCCCTGCTCAGATAGATGTATATTATATCATTTGAAAGAAACATTTTAAATGAAGAATCTTTATCTTTCACAGGCTACATTTCACACACCTTTTACCAACCTGGGTTTGAGTCCAGAAGGATGTTCTTCATATACATTTCCCAAAATTATGGGTTTAGCCAAGGTAAGATATGAATGTTTTTCTGATGGCTTATTTCTGGGCTTTGCTTTGACAAAGATGTACCCTAAACCTCTGTTATTCACCATGCTTTCTGGAACAAAGGAGTGCCCACCCCTATGCTGTCATCCCTTTCCTCAGGTAGAAATGTGAGGAAAGTGACTAAGGAGGGAGCAGACGTAGGTGCTTCCCTGTACACTGTTAAAAAATACTTGATAACAGGATTCAAGAAATAGGTCAGACTATGGGTTACATCCAACATTAAAAACCTGCTATGTGACCTTGGGCAAGTCACACTTTCTCAGCCTCAGAGGATGGCAGTGACAAACCCCTCTGCAGAAATTTTCCAAGAAAACCCTATGATAGGCTTGCCTTAGGGTCACCATTAATCAAAAATGACTTGGAAGCACACAACAACAACAACAACAATTTAAATAATTGGTTAATTGCCTCTCTTTCTTCTGACATGGGACTCAAGGTGATTTATGGCACATTAAGTGGCTTCCAACAAACAGAACAAGCATTAATTTCATTTGACTAATTGAGCTGACTATAGTCTAACTAAAACTCTACTCTCTCCCAGATAGCATTTCAGAAAGCAGGGTTAGAATCATTAATGGGTCATATGTAAGATTTAGGATGTCTTTGGTGCCCAACTCAGCACTGTCCTAGAAAGCATTTATGTACACAACACTTGCAGCAGCTAAAAATGCTGAGAATAAATAGGAACACAAAGAGCAATAGGATTCCGTCTCATTCTAGTTCAGTATTGTTTACTTTGACTTTTCAGGCTCAGGAAAAGAAATTTCCCCTGTAATTTGCTACCTGATCTTTTAAACTGGAGATACCAATTTAACTTGGGATCTTCTTCATACAAAGCAAGCACTCTGCTGTGAAGCTATTAGTTCTCCTTGCAATAAGATTTTCAAAAATATTTAAATTTTTTTTTTAAACTCCCTCCCCGCCATTCTCTTCCTTTCATTCAGGCTGCTGAAATGCTGCTCTTCAACAAGAAGCTGACTGCTGCAGAAGCCTGTTCTCAGGGGCTTGTGACAGAGGTTTTTCCTGACAATACTTTCCAAAAAGAAGTGTGGACAAGATTGAAGGCATATGCAAGCCTTCCAAGAAATGTTAGTGTTAAAAATTGCTTACATCTTAAGCTTTTAAGCTGGGACTTGGCAGATGTTGTGGTCCTCCAGATGTTCTTGTACTGCACTTTCCATAATAATAATAATAATAATAATTTTTATTTATATCCCGCCCCTCTGCAGAGCAATCGGGGCAGCTTACAACATTACAATTTCCATTAAACAAAACATAAAATCCCAAATCCCACCCATCCTTTAAGAAGCAAAGGTTCTTCTTATTCTAGGCTGGGTGGTGCTGGGCTTAGTGTCTCTCCCCCAGATGACATCGGATGGTAATGGAGGGAGGGCTCTTCTTATTATTTTAGGCCCGATGGTGCTTGGCCTAGTGTCTCTCCCCCAGATGACATTGGATGGTAATGGAGGGAGGGCTCTTCTTCTTACTCTAGGCCCGATGGTGCTCGGCCTAGTGTCTCTCCCCCAGATGACATCAGATGGTAATGGAGGGAGGGCTCTTCTTCTTCATCCCTTACCACTGGCTACATTGGATGAAGGCTACATTGGCTGGTGGGAGTTACAGTCCAACAGCAACTGGCAGACTGCATGATTGGATCTTGGCCTAAAAGCTTGTGTAAAAAAAGAAATATCTTGCAGTAATATCTTGATAAAATCTTTACAAGCAAAGTTGACTATATATATATGTGTGTGTGTGTGTGTGTGTGTGTGTGTTCATGCAGACGTGAGTGTGCGCGCGCATACATGTGTTTGGATTTGTTTCTTTTTTTGGTGTGTAAATTTAAAATGTGTGCTGGTTTTTTCTTTATATTGTAATTATCAGATTTTTTTTTTTAAAAAAGTGGTAAATAATGTGTAACCATAAAATAGTGTATATGTAAATAGTATGTAACCATACTGTTACTACCAAAATAGTAGCCATAAAATGATTAATAGTTAAAATACACGTGTTAAAATTTTTTGAATGATGATTACCTTTATTATTAGAATTCAGAGACATAGCCATATTAGTCTGCAATAGAATCATGTAGCAGATTGATTGATTGGACTTATATCCCCTGTCTTCCTCCCAAAATGGGATCTTTTGAAACTGAGTGAAAGACGTAGCATAACAACTTTGTTGTTATGTGACTTCAAGTTGTTTCCGATTTATAGCAACCCTGAGATGAACTTGTTTCAGGGTTTTATGAGGGTGAGCGTGACTTACCCAAGGTCATCCAGTTGGTTTCTGTGGCAAAGCAGGGATTCAAACCCTGG